ACATCATCTGCATCCACAAATATTGACTCGCTCTCTGAGTCATCTGTCTTGTGCATGTCCTTGTACATCACCTTCTCGTTGAATATCGCATCTCTGCTACGGATCACTTTCTTGTTTTCGTTGTCCCAAATGCGGTAGCCGAACTCATCTTCACCATAGCCGATGAAAGTGCATTTCTTTGACTTGGGATCAAGCTTATTCCTGCCTTGATCACTAATATGCACGTAAGCTACACAACCGAAAACTTTAAGATGTGAGAGTTTTACCTCCTTTCCGCACCATACCTCCTCTGGTATTCTGTGCTCCAATGGAACCGATGGACCTCGGTTGATCAAGTAAGCTGCTGTGTTGACCGCTTCTGCCCAGAACTGTTTTGGTAGGCCTGACTGTATCTGAATGCTTCTGGCTCTCTCTGTCAACGTTCGGTTCATCCGCTCAACTACACCATTTTGCTGAGGCGTGTCGGGCACGGTTCTCTCCATTATGATCCCGTGCTCATAGCAGAACTTCTTGAATCCGGTGTCTTCATATTCACCGCCATTATCGGTCCTGAGCTTCTTTATTCTCAGACCGGTCTCATTCTTGACCATAGCTTTCCATCTCCTAAAAGCCTCAAATACTTCTGACTTATGCTTCAGAAAGTAGACCCATACTTTCCGAGAGTGATCATTAATAAAAGTCACGAAGTAGTGTTTCCCACCAATGGACGCGGTGGTGGTTGGTCCCCAAATATCTGAGTGAACGAGCTCTAGCTTCTCTTTCCTGGGGGTTCTGCCACTTGTCTGAAAGCTGACTCTCTTCTGCTTTCCAAGTATACATTCTTCACACAAATTCATCTCCATTGACTGCAGTCCTGGGAGTTTTTCCTTCGTGTGCATGATTTTCATCCTCTTCTCAATCATATGACCGAGTCTCTGGTGCCACAGCTTTGAAGTCTCATTGTCTGCTGTAACTGAGATCAAACAACGTGCACCTGCTGTCATATACAGGGTACCAGTCTTCTTGCCTCGGGCAATCGTCATTGCGCCCTTTGAGATCTTCCAATCATCTTCATGGAAGGTCGTGGTATATCCTTCGCCAGCCAACTGGCCTACGGATATTAAATTCTTTCTCAGGTCGGGAATATGCCTGACATCCTTCAGCTCCCATACTGACCCGTTCAACTTAATTTTTACCATGCCTTTTCCCACAACCGCACATGATTGATCATCACCAAGATACACGTATCCAAGATTTCCGGGGGTATACTTCTCGAAGAATTCTTTCTGAGAGGTAGCATGGAACGACCCTCTTGAATCTAACACCCAAGATTCCTCCTTTCTCTCCAAAGAGCATATCAATGCGTCGTCTCCTCCTGAAGTGGAAGTGACATTCACCTCTGCCTTCGCCTCCTTCTCTTTCTGTGCACTCTTACACTGATTCTTGTAATGCCCGGTCTTTCTACAATTCCAACACTCGATAGCCTTCGAACTGTTGCTTGGATTCCTTGACTTAGACCTCCTGTCCTTTGATCTACCTCTGAAGTTTGATTTGCTCCGTCCGTTTCCTCTGGTTGAATTTTTACCTCTTGACTCTGTATGCAATACTAAAGAGGTTGTAGCTTCACCCGTCTCTCTCTGTCGGATCTCCTCACTGAGAACCAAATCACGAACGTCGTCGAACTTCAACTTATTTCCCGACGAGCAACTCACAGCTGTGACTGTAGCGTTCAAACTCTCTGGTAGGGAAGACAACAATATCAACACCCGAACTTCTTCATCAAACTCAATTTCAACTAAACTCAATTGGGTTGTAACCGTATTAAGTTCATTGAGGTGTTGTGCTACTGACGCGCCTTCTGCCATTTTCAGATTGAATAACCGCCGCATCAAATGAACTTTGTTCGCGGCTGATGGCTTCTCATACATATTTGAGAGAGCTGCCATAAGACCTGTCATGGTCTTCTCCTTTGCTATGTTGAACGCAACATTACGAGTCATCATCAATCTGATAACTCTGAGGGCTTGTCTATCTAGAAGGTTCCACTCATCTGCCTTCATAGAATCTGGCTTCTTCCCCGATAGTGGTTGATACAGATTTTTCTGATACAGATAATCCTCTATCTGCATTTTCCAGAATCCGAAATCTGTTCCATCAAATTTTTCAAGTCTCAGCTTTCCTTCATCTGCGGCCATGACTCCAACTTGAATCTGACTTCCTCTAGATCGTTTCACGCTCTGATACCAATTATTGGGAATTTAACACCGAAACCCCTAATGCAACAGAAACGCATAATAGAAAAAGTACACCAAGATTTACGAGGTTCGGCAACTGCCTACGTCCTCGGGAGCCACACAGTCAATTTTTTATTAATCAAACAAGAAATTACAAATATATGAGCAGTTCTCAAAACTGAGATTTCTCAAATGAATACTGTAGCTACAGTGTTAATAATTAAAGGGAATAAACCCTTTCAATTCTCACTTGAGAATAAGGAAAGTCCCACAATAAAACCCCTCTTTAATTCTCTCTCTCTCTCTCTCTTCTTAAATCTCCCCTCAGGATCTCAAATCCCAACCGCTGGAGTAAAAGAAACGCTGCTGCGTTTTGGTGTGTCCGCCGTCAGAGAGAAATCAGAGGAGGGAAGCAGCACAAACTAGGGCATCGAAAGGGGGTTTTATAGGCGGATACGATGGGCTGGCGACAGCCTGTCGCCAGCGGATAAGCCCGACGCGAGGGTCGGAGTGCCTGAGACGCGGACGTCGGAGTTCCAAAACGCGATGGTCGGAGCGCTCGAATGCGAGGGTCGGCATCGCCAAAAAACGCCGAGGTCAGAATCGCCCAAACGCGATGGTCGAAAACGCCAAGTTCGAGTTCGCCTGCAGCTTTGCCTGCGCCATCCCTCAAGCTCGTCGGAGCTCCTCGCCGGAATAGAGGTTTGATCTACACCTTATTCCAACATTAGGCACATTTTGACTTGAATGTGCCCATTGTTTAATACATTTTCTCATAAATCTCAATTTGCCAATAATATTTTTAGCAGTCGAATCATTCCTGGGAGCACATTTCCACCAAATTGGTACATTTTTCATAAAATTCTCAGATTGCAGCCATATTTTTTTCAAATCTGAATATTTTAAATTGCTGTTGATTTCCATCAGGCACATACTCGTTAATAATTTATTCTGTCGTGCTTTTGTCTTTATTCAGTATTTGTTCAGAGTGACGGTTGAAAAACCGCACATTCATGTATTCTAGATTCACCATAGAAGACGTGCTAGTTAAGTTGCGTGTCCTTTGTGTCAAGTTGGCCAATCCTCATTTACTCGTCATCACGTGTTCTACCTTCTAGAACTACTAGTTATATATCATGCGCTAGCTTGATACCCGCTCCAAGTATATCATATATATAGTACTATATCTGTACTCCTATATAAAAAACCAAGTGATTGGTAATCTAAAATTTGGATGTGCGGTGAACATGTTCTCATTTTTTCTACTATACTTGGAAGGGTAAAAAGATAATTTAACAAGATGTGTCCTCCGTGTTTTTCTTTTTTTCCCCTCTCTCTCTCTTTCTCTTTTGTTTTATGGAATATTCCATATATCGTACAAATATTTTGCCCTTCTTTTCTTTCTCTTTTTTTCGGTTTTCTTGAATGTTCTATACCATACTCTATGAAGCTCATATAGTCATATATCCATTATATTTACATTCTAAACGGAATATAAATCAAAACTATAAGTTCCTTTTAGCAAAAAATATAACATGTCTGAGATATATAGTTTTGCGCTCGTAGTATATCTAATATTACATTTCTCATAAGCTGTAGTTATTTGGATTAATTACATTCTGCCCTGAGGTTTGATATAATTACACGGGTGACTTAGGAGTTTGCTATGTACATGCATGGATGACCCTAGGATCATTAATTGTAATTACATGGTAATCTTGAGAGTAGCTTATCTTTTAGGGTGACGTTACAGGCACACCCTCTGCCACACCTTCGGTCACACCCCTTCTCCCTCTACAGTGCAGGAGGCCCCACCTGTGATTTTTTTAAAAATCTCAGGTGGGCCCCCCTACACTGTAAAGGGAGAAGGGCTGTGACCGGAGGTGTGGCAGATGGTGTGTCTGTAGTGTTTTTCTATCTTTTAGGCTTTAAGGTCGCATGTGTAATTACTAGTAGTAATCTCAGGGTCCTCCATATGGATAAACGGACTTCATGGTCACTAGGTCATCCATGTAGTTACATCATACCTCAGGCTTGAATTGTTACATCATATATACCTCAAAGTGGTGGATTGTAAATAATACTAGTTATTTCCATGACAATTATTGCTTCGGTTTTTTAATCTGATGAGGATTCGAATCAAATCCCCCCCCCCCCCCCCCCTAAAACAGATCATTGAGAAGCTTCAGCAGGCTGGTTTCCACTTTCTAACGCAGATTGAAGTTTCAAACAAATCCACAAGAGGAGTTGACTAGTGAGCATTGCGCACTTCTTCAACATTGTCGGAATTACTTAATAGCTACTGTATCAGACCGTCAGAAGTAGAAACCAAATCAGAAAAGTGGTCCCAAAAGATAAAATAACCACATAAAAGAGTCTGAGCTTGGGGATTAATCCCCAACGAAATGCATAGTTTACAAACGTATATACACTAAGATAAATCATAACCCTTGAGTAGAAAGCAGACAAATATTGTTCAGAAAGTGGTCATTACACGCAGGATGATCTGAAATCTGAATCCACGTGTTCAACGCCTAAAACGGTAATTAATTAGATGCTTCCACCAAATACACCGTGTTGTGTTGAGCTACACAGCAGATCCACGGAGGAAGAATTGACTACTGATCTAAAGCCAAATCAGTTGAAGTAAAGAATGGACTCGTTCAACATTTCTCTGTTCAGACGATTAAGGAGAAACCAAATCAAAAAGATGTATCTCCAACCAAAAAAAAAAAAAAACAAAAAAAAAAAAAAAAAAAAAATAAAGGAATCTACAAAACAAAGGCCGTGAGCTTGGGGAATGTTTGATACCCAATGAAACCCCTCATGAAAATAGATAATTTACGATCGAGCATAAAATAATTTACATACTCATGTGCTAAGAAGACATGATTAATCTTCACATGCATGATTAATCATCACCCTTTTTTCCCACTAATCCCATGGGCTGCTCTAGGGGATGTCACCACCAGTTTCTTATCGCACGATCTCCTCCTCCCAGTCTCCTTCCTCTTAATATTGCCACACCTCTCCTTCATTGTTGGCATCAGATACCACCAAATACAAGTGCAACATATAGCAAACACCCTCCCAAAAATCACCAAGCAAACCAATATCAACACCATGACCAAAGGCCAAAAATACGCATCTCTCACCCTCATGGCCTTCAGTAACCCCCCCTTCCTCCTCTCCTTCTTCCCAACCTTCTCTTGCATGGGCGGCGGCGGCGGCGGAGGCAGCTTCTTCATCTCGTCCATTATTGTTTCCTTCGGTCTGACGACGATCGGGATCCACTCTTGAGAGTTATCGTACACGAACCGGATCAAGGCTACGCCCTGAGACCCGGTCCTCGCGATTATCTTCTCTCTTCTCGATTCCAACTCTTTTAGCACCATTGAGAACTTTTCGAGCCCCCTTGAGGAATAAGGGTTCTTGTTTTGCTTCCTCTTCGATGTCTGTTGAGGCTCGCTGTGATCGTCCATGTTAGCGAAGTTTGATGAGCCGCAAACGAACATTTGTGTGATGGCATGTGAAAGCTGAAGAAATATTTAGTTTTTTTAATGGTTTGGTTTGGTTCTGGTGTGGGAAATATATATAGGGGCTGTTGGTAGAGGACTTGATCAATTTAGAGAAGTTTCTCACATCTTGTGGATACAATATTTCTGGAGGTTTGACTTTCAAAATGCGAGGTTTGACTTTTGAATTGGTCCTACGGATCGTAGTGTAATCTGTATGGTATATTATATTGTATATAGTACTGCTGAATATACGTGTGTAATATTATATATATTTATTTTTCTTGGAAAAATTTGTCTAGTTATCGTATGTACCTCCATCACAAGTGGTTGCCATTCGTCTCTATAAACTTGACTCGAAGCCGGATCAATTTGTAACATTTATCTGACGTTTTGAAAAGGGCGTAGCCTAATATTTTAACCCGTATTGATATAAATATTATTTCTGATTTATTGAGTCCTCACGGCGGCTCTCAGCCTAAACATAGCTTAAACCACTATTTTGTTGAGGACAAATTTTCAAAACCAACCCCTTTTACTATTTTATTGCAGAAAACGATCTCTTTTCATTTTATTTAGAGAAATCGACCTAGTTTCAGCGCTGTCGCTGAAACCAGGTCGGTTTTTCAAAAAAAATTTACGAAACTTTACGGGAGTGAAGTTTAGTACGCTTTTAAACTTCACGTGAGTTGAACTCCCGTGAAGATTATTTTGTTGAATAAACTCCACGGGAGTTCAACACCCGTGGAGTTTGTTGCAGCGTTTAAAACTCCACGGGAGTTGAACTCCCATGGAGTTACATGCTAAATTTCCCAGAGAATCTCTCTCTGGGAAATTTAGACTGCAACTTCACGGGAGTTGAACTCCCGTGAAGTTGCAGGTTTTACAAATCATGCACAGGCTGCTGTGCATGTTTTGTATACGTTTACCTATTTAACTCATATATACAACTATTTACCTGTTGACAATAATTACTACAATGTATATATGAATTAAACACGCACGAATCAAACAATACTCAAAAAGATCACATATCGAGCTATAATTGATCCATAAAAATATAGTATTTAAAAATTCATACAAGTTATAAATTTTAACAAAATAAGTTCAAATACAACCCAATATAGCTCCTCTTCTTCCTCTCCCTCTCTTCCCCCTCCCCCTCGCTCTTCCCCGCCCCCCGCGCTGATGAGCCTCGACTATCTGAGTATTTGGCTATGTATGAGGCTGAGAAGTGTCGGCTTCATCAGCATGCGAAGTGCCGGAAGTGCCAGCTCCATCATCATGCGAAGTGCCGGCTCCATCAGCATGCGAAGTACCACCGTCATCGTCACGTGGCCGTCGGCGCCGAGTGTACGCCTGCCCAAATGATCGAGACATGTCCTCACGGCCTGCGAACTCGTCGACGTGAGTCTTATCAAACACCTGTGCTATGGTCTTCTTGATCCTGCTGAGGAGCCCTAACGCTACCTGATCCTGAATCTCAGGCACGGTCGCATCAATGTTAGCCTCAATGCCACCTGATGTTTTTTAATGAACAATTCGATCGAACGCTTCTCGTCGTGTAAGACATGAATGAGACTCATATCGTAGTCACTTGATATTTGAATGCCACTTGTTCTGATCCCCACAACAGGATAATTGCAAACCACACTGAGGTAATACTCACGTGAATTGGTTAATGTAAGTTTGTGTAATTCATTAACCAACTCATTGAAAGTACACGATTTTGTTATGAACAACGGTCTTGTCGCGCGGCCTTCATATACGGGCATATTATTTTCGAGGTAATTAATCTTCCCATCATAAGAGCAGAGAATTACAATTCGATCGTTCATCGTTACCTCTGTAGAGTGAAAAATTCAAGATCAATATTACACGAAATTATTTAATTATTGATTGTTACTAATTTATACATTTTTGTAGTAACACTATTTTTCACATTAATTAATATTTTCACCTCTAATTGATATTACACGAAATTATTTTTCTTCACAAAATTATTTTATTTTGTAGTAACACTATTTCGAGGTAATTATTGATTGTTACTAATTGATATTACACGAAATTATTTTATTTTTCTTCACAAAATTCATAAATAATTCACAATTAAATTCTAAAATCTAATTCATGTCGTGCATATGTAGTAACACTCATTTCAACAATTATTGATAATTTCCCCACTAATTACACAATTTTTTTTAATTTTTTCTTCACAAATTTCATAAGTAAATACTAAAATCTAATTTTTTACTTTTAATCACCATGAAATACTGAGAGTATACAAAAAAAAATTAAGAATACAAATTTTTTAAGGAAGAATTTACCTTAAAAATGGAATGTCAGATCTAGATCGGCGGTCGGAGATCTGAGCGACGAGTGGAGTCGGCGAAGGTGGCGGAAGCGGTCGGGAGCACCAGCGGCGCACGGAGTTCAACTCCCGTGGAGTTTTAGAATGTCATAAATCTTCACGGGAGTTGAACTCCAGTGAAGATTTATGAACAAATTAAAGTTCACGGGAGTTCAACTCCCGTGATGTTTAAAAATGCATTAAACTTCAGAAACCGACCTGTTTTCAGCGCTGGGCTGAAAACAGGTCGGTTTTTACAATTTTTTTCAAAACCGGTCATTTTTTGCAAATAAAATCCTAAAGGGGACGGTTTTAAAAATTTGTCCATTTTGTTGAGGATAAATGATAAAAGAAGGCATTCTTCGTCTTTCTCCAGGATTACTTGCGTCGTATCGACTTAGAAGATGTAGCCATTAGAACAACTGGGTTGATGAAGCAGACGTGAATTGAAAGAGAGGGAAGGGGGCTGCTTTTTGAGAAAATAAATGCTTTTTGAGAAAATAAAATGACAATTGAAAGTAAGTAATTACGTGGAGTTAGGAGGAAGGAGGATCATTAATTTCCCTTCAAAAAAATTTGTTAAGACCATTACTCCCTTCTCACATAGGGAGAACCACTCGGGGCAGTTAATAGTCTATGAAAAAAGAGCACCCATCGCGGGTACCAAAGATGACATGGAAAAGCAGCAGTAATACTGTCAACACAAGCTTTGCTACAGGGACCCAAAATATGGGACCAATAAAAGGGACAAGTGAGGTGTCCCCCTCCTATTGGATAATGAGTTGGCCATCATTAATGATGGCCAACTCATTATCCAATAGGAGGGGGACACCTCACTTGTTCCCCCTATTGGTCCCATATTTTGGGTCCTTAAAGAGTTTTTCCTGTCAACACCCCCATATCTCTGGTTCAATCCTGTCTCTGTCTCATTTGAAGTATGAGAATAAGAGGTGGGATCCATATGCTCGGAGTTAACTTGGTAGGGATTGGAGATCGAATTTAGATTTCCGATTGGGGTTTCTCGTGCCTCGCCCAGATTTCCCTAGTACCCAAAAAATCTATAATGGTTTAATGGGTTAAAACCATTGGGGGTAGGACTTTCAGAAATGTCTGATAAATGTTAAGAGGCTAATTTGACTTTAATCCAAATACCATGAGACCAACTGCGGGACGATATCCTTTTTGCACTTCGAAAATTAAAGATTACTAGAGAGAGAAAAATCATCTGTCTTGCAATCGATCACATAAAATTGGATAGAATCAAAACTTCTTTAATAACAATTTAGGAGCTATTGAGTATTCTGTACATGAAGAAGCTTATCTAGCCCAATTCTTTGCTTATCTTTGTAATTTTACAATGCAGTAAGAGTTGTTTTCATTGTTACTGACCATAAAAAGCTACAACAATTAAAAACAAGTTCTAGCAGTTGATGAAGGGAAACGTCACCATCATTCGGAGTCTTTCTTGATCCTGATTGTGTCTCAGGTCGATTAATCCATCTGCAGTCTTTCTTGTTATAAATGAGCAACAAATTTTCCAATGATATAAAAATAGCGCTGCTGATTATATATGCTGCGAAGACTATTCAGTAGCGTATTACTCGGCGTCTCTTCGATGTTTATCCATTACCAACTCATCTTCTTTTTTGTCCATATATAAGGTGATTTTGCTTTCGTCAGACTTTTAGTTTATTGTGGTGGCAGTTTATTGTAACCCGGACGATTGAAATTTCTTTCACCCCATTTAATAATGAAATGTACAAAATACAAAATTATTTTACTCATAAACATCTTAATGAGCAAAAACCTATTTTGCTGGAAATAATATCACTATCGTTCCGCAATTTAAGAAGTGACCTATGCATCTTCATAACAAGGATTAGGATATCATGTACAAGCATTGGAATTGAATCTAACACACTCTCGCCAAGTGATACGCTCGATTGCCATAAAATATGGTTGGTGCTTGTTGGCGCATGTGGCTAAATCTAGAATAAAATAGATAAATCTATTAGAAAACTGAAGTGCTATATTTTAAAACTTTTTCAAGTTTAGCTGTTGTGCGTTTATGAAACACTGTGCTTAAAGAAATATTTGGTCTACTCCAGTGTAAGGATCCTAAGGCCAAACTGCTTCCAGGAATAGCAGTACAGTACACTGGTGTGCACCGACCAAGTACTGTCAAGATCTCCTCGATCTATAAGACCTTTCGGTCAAGTTCTAGCAGTTGATGAAGGGAAACGTCACCATCATTCGGAGTCTTTCTTGATCCTGATTGTGTCTCAGGTCGATTAATCCATCTGCAGTCTTTCTTGTTATAAATGAGCAACAAATTTTCCAATGATATAAAAATAGCGCTGCTGATTATATATGCTGCGAAGACTATTCAGTAGCGTATTACTCGGCGTCTCTTCGATGTTTATCCATTACCAACTCATCTTCTTTTTTGTCCATATATAAGGTGATTTTGCTTTCGTCAGACTTTTAGTTTATTGTGGTGGCAGTTTATTGTAACCCGGACGATTGAAATTTCTTTCACCCCATTTAATAATGAAATGTACAAAATACAAAATTATTTTACTCATAAACATCTTAATGAGCAAAAACCTATTTTGCTGGAAATAATATCACTATCGTTCCGCAATTTAAGAAGTGACCTATGCATCTTCATAACAAGGATTAGGATATCATGTACAAGCATTGGAATTGAATCT